CTCTCTCTCTCTCTCTTCTTTGTTGTGTGTGTGTGTGTGTGTGTGTGTGTGTGTGTGTGTGTGTGGTGTGTGTGGTGTGGAGGGGGGAGTGATGTATGAATTTAACTGTATGTTATTTTTCAAATAATATGTACAATAATTTTATGTATAAATCAATTCATACATATTCACATATAGAAAAAAACCAAATAATTGTCTATAAATTATACAAAATATTCGTATGTTTGAAAAATCACTCTGAAAATCTAAATTGAAATTTATATAGAATATTAAAATAAATAATCAATGGTGCATATAAAAATGTGCAATTTGTTAGTAGAGAGGATTGCAAACTTTGCAAGTAGTGGATATTAAAGCTTCAACCAGTGTATTTATAAGAAAACTGAAAATTTATAAAAAAAACTGAAATTTAATTTAATCTTTTAATTTGAAGCGGCAAAATTCCTCCTTCGCTTTAATTCTCATTATACACACTCTTTGAGCCGCCGTCGTCGTGATTCTCGAATCGACGACGTGCGGACGAGTATAATGCCGAGCACACGACGGGAGCGTCTGTCTTTCTTTCACCCCCGTCCCGGCAGAGAACACAATCAGACGTAGCTGTATTCGGTACTGTGAATGTTGACTCGGAGCATATTTGTCTAGCAATGGAGGAGCGTAGCCTGCAGGGGGACGGGGGTGCGCGCGCAGGGGGTGGTTCAAATATTGTGTCGTTTCATTGAGCACACCGTGGCGATCAGAGTCGCATTATTTTGACTCTGTAAAAAAGAGAAAAATAGCGGCGGTATCGATGTCAAAATGAATGGCTTTTTTAGCTCCGTCGTCGCCACGCTTTCCGCACGTCCGCTTGCGGTTTTCGACATTATTAGCGTCGAATCTTCATTCTCTCTGACGATTTTTCCCGATATTGTCCGCGAGGCGAATTTATTTTATTATTCCATACATTTACATTTTCCCAGAAAAATAATACGGGAAAAATAACTATCGTTGCGATAATCGTGGCGAATAACACTGCGACATGAACCAATCACGGGAGTAAATTACTTGCAGAAAAATGAGTGTGTACAAATATTTAAGCGGAATATGTATACGTAAATGTAACCTATTGCAATCGAGTTTGAAAATACGTTTGATAAAAATAATTGCGTAATGTACGTATCTCGCGAAAAGTTATCGTTTGATGATCCGAAAAATTGTGACTTCGCTTGCAATGTAACTTAAATTACGCGCGTTTTTAATTCACAAATGCGCAAATAATATAGGCTGCATTAATCGTATTAGTCCCGCAGGAAATAACAAATCGAATATTGAATAATATTTTATTTTGGTCAATAAGTTTTGATTATGAATCTTAATAAACTATCTCTATATTTTTAATTGTCTACTATATTTGATAAATTTTCAGAATTTCTGTTTGAAGTTTGATATAAATCTATATTTTAATTGAATGTCTTATTTGTG